AAACTGGTCCTCTGCAGGGTTCCACGTGGGTCAGTTGGGGGGAGCTGGAGACTGAATGTGCTGTCTCCCCCTTCGTTATTCTTAGATATCTAAGATGTTTTATTTCTAGCCTTTTCAACAGCTTTAGTCATTAATCATCACAGTATCTATTTGGCACCAACTCGTTGGGTGTCCTTAGATTCTCCATTTCTGTATTTCAACTTGTCAGGCTGAATTTAGACCTATCTGCCTCTCAGGAATGAGATTTAACTGTTTTATTATTTCTTTTTTTAATCTAGGAGGCAGTTACTTCCATATCCAGTTCCATAATCATATGTATCTGCTCAGCTCAAACTTGGTGCACTTTTGACAGCCTGGAGTAACTAATTCTGCTGTGCTGTTTTCACCAGGCCTGGTGTGCTGCAGGAAACTGCTTCAGCTTGCAGCGAGAGCATGACATTGCCATCAAGTTCTTCCAGAGAGCCATTCAAGTGGATCCAAACTATGCTTATGCCTACACCCTGTTGGGGCACGAGTTTGTGTTAACAGAAGAACTAGACAAAGCATTGGCTTGTTTTAGAAATGCCATCAGAGTCAACCCTAGACACTATAATGCATGGTGAGTTTTGTTTCATCCCCTTCCTGTTGCACAGAACACAGAACTCCCTGTGAAATACCTTCTGGATCCTGCCACTGCCATCATTTCCCTACCACCCTCCTCTCTAAGAAGAGAGCAAAACAATTTCTGCAAAATTGTGGGCTTCATCTGTTTATTGAACAGCTACTGCCACAAGGAGGGGAAAAAAATGGGGTGTTTTTGGTTTCCACAGATCTTCTTGGCTGTATTGCCCCAGCTGCTTTGTTCTCCTGAGCAGCACTCCTTGTACATCGTGTTGATTGTCTTGCAGTTGGAGAGGGGAGAGCTCTGCCCCTTGATACCTTAGGATACAGTCAGCTTCTCACAGCTTGTTCTGTGGAAAAAATAACATAGAGCAGTGAAAGTTAGATCTGCTGGAGTTAGTCACTTAGTTGTATTTGCTTTTTATCTTGTAGCTGTTTAGCCAATCCTCCTGTGCATCAGGAATCAGTTCTTCAAACTACCCAACTGAGAAGGGAAAAAAAGAAAAGGATAATTTTAGGCATAGCTTTTTCCTACAAGGAGCTATTTCCCACCCTAGATGGGGTTAGTGAGTCTATAGACTCATTTCTGCCAGGTCATATTCACTGACAAAGCCTGGTTTGGTTAGAACACAGCTTTACTTAACAGTTGTTTTTCTGCTTGCAGGTATGGGTTGGGAATGATTTACTACAAACAGGAAAAGTTCAGTCTAGCAGAAATGCATTTCCAGAAAGCACTTGATATCAATCCTCAGAGCTCAGTCTTACTGTGTCACATTGGAGTAGTAAGTAGATTGTGCTTAACTCTATCCCTGTGTTTTAATCTGCTTCTGTGCTTGGTTAGCAGTAGAAAAGTAATTCTGAATATTTTTAGCAAAAAAGCCTATGTTCAGAGTACCTGCTGGAGGATCTTAAGTGCCATATGAATGAATAACCACAAGATTAATGCATCAGGAAATAAACCCTCCTAGCTGTCTCCAAAGTACTTTTAGCCAGCATTGAAATAATACTATCAAGTCATGCTGGAGTCAGCATGATCTGAAAATGAAGACTGCAGATATTAATGTGAACTATGCTGGCTGATGGAGCTGGGAGGCAGTTCTCAGATCTCTGTGATGGTGACTTAAAACTGCTCAATGAGTGTGCTGGCTGGCTACCTGCTGCCATTCACTTGCCTTCTGTGAGGCAACAAAGCTGTGTCAAATGCTGCAGGGAGAGTGGCTGCTTCTTGCTCCTGTAGGGAGCAAGGCATTGAGGTCACTGCTGGCCAAAGGTTAAGTGATTTCTGTAAGCCATTGGGTGGGGAGAATATTTTGAGGTGGAGACAGGGTGAGAAGTTTTCCTCCTGTAAGAAAATTTAAGACTTGGTCAGGAATTGGACAAATATTTATTTAAAGGAACAGTTTATAAGCAAATGTAGTCAAATAGATTTGTCTTTGCCCAGCAGCTGAGCTGTTATTTTCCTTTTAAAATTGTTCTCTCTCTGTGTAATAGGTCCAACATGCACTGAAGAAGTCTGAAAAGGCTTTGGATACTTTAAACAAAGCTATTAACATCGACCCCAAGAACCCACTATGCAAATTCCACAGAGCCTCTGTATTATTTGCAAATGAAAAATACAAGGTAAGGTTTGGACAGGTCGACAACCTGAAGTTATCTTTAAATTGCCATAGCTAGGAACAGAGATGCACTGAAAGCTGGGTGCTTCCAGAGGAACGTGGGGGAGCTCCAGGGCTTGCAGAAAGAGCTTAGGACATTGCCTGTCTTGTAGAGGCTAATGTCAAAGCAAAGGCTTCACAAGTGCCACCTTGGCAAGGGGACAGTGTTCAACTTCTTGATTGTTATAAAATCTGGGGCCAACAGGTGAAGCTTTTTGAAGCATTCAAAAAGTATTTTTATTTTAGTCTGACCTTGGAAAAAGAAGGGAAAAAAAAAAGAGGGGGAAATTGTGGCAACTGTCACCAACATGTGGCTGAATTATCATGAATTTTTACTAAATTACTGAAAAAAGGCTCAGCAAACTGCCCCATAACCAATTACAGCAACAAGAACCAGCTATTTCAAAGGCTGTGTTGGCAAATGAAAAATAAGGAGCTAAGAAATTTTGGTCTGATCCCCTCCTGACCTGTACCCTGCTCAGAATGAGCAGAGATCTTCCTGCAGTCTCTTTGCAGTGACTGTTGTCCTCTGGCCTGTGTTTTTTTGGCCACAGAAGAAATCAGGCAGTCTGGTTTTTGAAACCTTGCTTCAGAAATGTGTGTGCACATGTAAAGAGAAGATTTGGAACCTATTTAAAATTCATAGTTAATCTAATTAAATATAGAATGTGTTTTTACATTACCCCTCATCCTGTCACTACAAGCCCTTGTCAGTAGTCCCTCCCCAGCTTTCCTGCAGGCCTAATTCAGATACTAGAAGGCTGCAATAAGGTGTCCCTGGAGCCTTCTCTTCCCCAGGCTGAACAACCCCAACTCTCTCAGCCTGTCCTCACAGGAGAAGTTCATGTAAACTACATAAAACTTAATGAAATATTTTTGGTTTAGCACCACTACTGGGGGAATTTTGATAGTGTCATAAACTTGGGTAGTGTTAGTGTAAACCTGCATTTATTTACCTTCTGTTCATGTAGCAAGTCCTAACTTGAGATTGTCTTCACATGAGTAAGTTTTAGATGGTTGAATGGAACTTATTATTTCTAACTGCAGACTAAATATTTTTAGGTAGGATTTCTTAATAATACCAAGTTCCTGTCACAAGCAGAATAAATTGTTCTACTGTCAGCAGTTAGTTTAAAAGCAAAGTAGAAGTTTTGCTAAATATTTTGGACTTCAGATGCCCCATATAAACATCAAAGTGCACAGATACACATCTAAAATCAGAACTTTTCAAAGGCACAGGCTTGGGAGCAGTACAGCCAGCACAAGATACATCAATATTCTTACTCTTCAGAAGCTCAATACACCAAAGTGCCCACTGTAAACACACCACCAGCTTGTTTTCTACCCTGTTATGCCTTGATGGGGGCAATAGGGACATTTTATATCAGTCATTGGATGTGTTGTAGGAGACTAAAGCCCAACAATCTTGCTCTTTGGCTCTAATATGGGGCCTCAATCATGAAATGAGAAAAAAATGCAAAAGGAACTTTAGATGCTTCTCATGAGATTGCACTGTTGTTCTTCAGTGCCAAGTCAGAGGGCAGTGATGTTGGAACTGGTTGCAAACTGGCTTGTAGTTTCTAAGCTCCTTTTTCTTCTCTTTCAGTCTGCTTTAGCCCAACAAACTTGCTCTTTTTCTCTAATAATGGGGCCTCAATCATGAAATGAGAGAAAAAAAAAAATGTAAAAGGAGTTTTAGATGCTTCTCATGAGTTTGCACTGTTCTTCAGTGCCAAGTCAGAGGGCAGTGATGTTGGAACTGGTTGCAAACTGGCTTGTAGTTTCTAAGCTCCTTTTTCTTCTCTTTCAGTCTGCTTTACAAGAACTTGAAGAACTGAAACAGATTGTTCCCAAAGAGTCTCTTGTTTACTTTTTAATAGGAAAGGTAGGTAACACCTAACCATGAGCTGAAGTTCTTTGGTTGCCTTCATGTCTAATGAGAAAATGTGATGCCTGCCACTAAGCTGCTTCCATTTGGAGCAGTATTCTAAAAATTCCCAAAGCTTTAAATAAGGCCCAAACATGTACACTGTAAGAGCTTTTACACCAGCCTGCTGCAGAGTTCCAAACTTACATTTCTATCTGGAGATCCACCTCCTTATGTCTTTGAATCTGTCAGCTGCTAGTTTAATTTTTTTTCTGGAATCTGAACTAGAAACACTTGCTCACTCTTTCTACACATTTGCTGTTTCCCTTGGGACTCACAGAATAAATCTTTCCTATCTACACTCTGTTGCTTTTCTTAAAATATCAGTTAACTGTGGCTTGGTCTGTTTTGTGCCCAAGCCTTCAAGTAGCAACTTCATGTAAATGTAGCCTCTTATGCTTTTATTCTAGGTTTATAAGAAACTGGGTCAAACACATTTGGCCCTAATGAATTTCTCATGGGCAATGGACTTAGATCCCAAAGGAGCCAATAACCAGATTAAAGAGGCCATCGATAAGCGTTACCTTCCAGATGATGAGGAGCCAATAACTCAAGAGGAGCAAATCAGTGAATGTTACCCCTATGAATCAGGTTTGTATTTCCAACCCTTTGTCATTCAAGGAGGAATTTCTGCCTAGGTGGTAGAATCCCAGGTTTAGTATGTGAAACGTGCTGCTCAGCCTCCCTGCTAGGCCAGAAAACTCCAGAGGCTCTTACTCTGGAAGAATTCATTCATACTTCCTGCAGCAAGCATGAAACAAAGGGTTGTGAGATGCCTTCAGGCTCTGTAGATGGGAGTAGGACAGAGATAAGGACTACTGTGATTTCATAGAAATCATGGTTGGTTGATGGTGTCCTAGGAGAGAGAGATTTTCCTTTGCAGAGCCACAAATCTTCCCTCATAGAAGCATCAAATCCTTTCAAGGTAACTGAATCGCAGAATCATAGAATGCTACTGAATTTTTTCCATAGAAACTTTGTCAAAGATTAAACAAACTGGATGTTGCCTAAAAATATTTGGTCTGCTAAATGTAAAATATAACTTCTGAGCAAAGTCATGGAAGCAGTTTCATTTGAATCAAGAGAAAATCACTCCCATTATACTCCTTGGGAATAACCCTCAAAAATGAATGGTCTGGGTTTCTCTCCTCTCTGGCTTTTTACTATGAGCTTAAATTTCATGAAGCATGGGGAGTCATAATGGACTTCTTTAATGCAGACTGGAATAGTGATAGAAATTAAATACTAAAGCTAAGCTATTCTTTTCCTCTGAATTAAAAATACAGCAGGTTTTGGATTCTTATTAATAGCTGTATGCTAAGTCTACAACTGAAAAAAAATTGTCATGTGTTCCTAGTGTAGATCACACTGGTTTTTATTGATGCTGTGTACACTGAGCTCTTTAACACTGGAAACTCCTCCTGCACTGCACTTCCTGAAGTATCCAGAGCTTTCCTCTCCCTGCTGTTGCAGTTGGGCAGGCTTTGGAACACTGGCTCACTGCGGGCTCAGCAGGTTTCTGGCCAGAAGATGGAGACAGAGTCCTGGAACTGCTGAGTGAGACCTGAGCAGTAAGGAAAAGCCTGAAAGCCTTGCCTAAAAAACAAACTACACACAAAAAAACAACCCAATCAGAACCCCCCAAAAATAAAATTTAAAAAAAAAAAAACACACAACAATTTATTCTGCTTCTGGTTATTGGGCAGGAGCAGACTGAAGTTGCATTCTTGTGTGTGAGGAGCAACCATCATGAGATATTTACCTTCATTCCAGCTGTAACAAGTACAGAAGTTTAAATGTTTATTTAGTATGAGCATTTCAGGCAGACAGTGTGTTTGGAAGGAGTGGGGAGGTTAAATTGCTCTGAAGGTGATTTTTGGAACCCTCCACACCAATCCCTGTGGAACTAAGTGTCACAGACTTCAGATTTTTAACAGCAGATGGCTGAGGCAGCATGTTCTGCTCACATGGACTCTGTGCTAATTCCTTTCTAAATGTATTTATTTAGGCTTCGGTAGGCTGGTGGGAGACAGTGTATAAGAAGGGAAAAGCCTAAATGGCTCCAAAGCATTGAGGGGAAGCCCAAACTCATTGCTACTGTGCTTTTGATGTGCTGGAGGTGATGGTGGGAGCATCTTTGCAGTGTTTAACTGCTTGGTGTTTCTTTTTCTTCCCAGTTGGCACAGACGAATCCCAAGAGAGCAGCATGACGGATGCAGACGACACACAGCTCCATGCAGTTGAAAGTGATGAATTTTAACATCCAGAAGCCAGTATCTGAGCTCGAGTGTGTGACTGGTACTGTTGTGTTCCCCCCCTTCCTTCGCATCCTGGGTCTTCACATCACTGAGCCAGCACTGCCATTGTTCTCACTGACTCGCCGCTCGGACTGGGCCGTACGCTGGGTTCATGGCAGGGCAATATTCAGCTGCTACTGAGTCTGACTCTTGGCTCCTACACATCTATGGAAGTGACTGAGGAGGAAATGCTATTTTTTGGACTCCCCTTCGCTGGAAAAAAATATCATGGAAGAAAGACTTGTGGTTTGCTGTAACAAAGCTGGTAGATGTGGGGATAGTACTAATGAAGCAGTGTCTTGTACTTTTTTTCCAGAAACGTGTCTTAGTTGGGTTCTTTCTTGGTAAGCAGAGTGCTGAACCTCATTTCCAAGTTCAAGGACAGCGTTGACAAGTGCAGGCTGTTAAAGAGACTTTTGCATATTGTAGTGTAACTTAAATGCCAGGGAATGTAAATGACCTTAAAAGCTGCAGTGTCTCCAGTGAACACACACAGTGCTCGTGCTCGGGACTGGGAGTGGCGAGTGGAAGCGTAGCAGGAGAAGCACTTTGCAGAATCAAAGCTTTCATGAAGTGCTTTTGTGTTCTAACCAAGAATTAATTTATTCACCTGGTTTCTGAAAGGTCAGTGTTTACTTTGGACTTCTAAAGGAAGAAGTCGGCACCACCTTGTGTCATTTTTCATATATCCTGTGACTTGTTCTTCCCCTGTCGAGAATAAAAATGAATAAAGGGCAAAATCAAGAGAAATGTAGATACAACTAATGTGAAAACATTTAAACCCTTAGCAGGGGGTGGCTGCACGTTTCTGAGCAGGTAGCCTGGGAAGACCGTGGAAGCCTTAATACAATCAGAACCTTAGTGAACAAATGAAAACTGTCTAAGATTAGTGTCATTTTTAAAACTGTTTTATAAAGTGTGGTCCAAGCAGGATGCAAAAATGTGCAATTATCTGTCTTTCTCCTTTTTTCTTTTTTTTTTTAAGCTGTTCTTTAAGATTCTCACTCTAGGAACACTTCCCTCTTCTTCAGAGGCTGCTTCTGGGAAAAGAAACCTGCACGTTAATGAGTCCAAAATGCTCCTTTTCTGTAGCATTCTGCAGCAACAACTGGTGCCCTTAATGCAGTGATGACAAAGTGTATGATCTAAGCAGTTTTAAAGAGCAATTTATGCATCATAATAAATTGGGAATGATACAAATTTCATAGCAACATATTTGTTGTGATCAGTCTTAATATTTTTTTTTAATGTATTGGGGTTTAGGGGACTTTTAGTTAGCTTTAGAGCTTCACTTTTGTTTCAGTTTTGTCCTTGTCTTATAGTAGGTGCATCCTCTGTCACAGCTCTTCTCTCATCACCAGCCACACAGACATCACCTTTCTCATTTCTTCAAATATTGAGCAAGAATAAAATTCTGATTATTTTAAAAAATTCTTCTTAGGTGGGAGGCTAAGCAGTGGCAAGGAGGATTAAACTCCCCTAATAGTGCTAAAAGGGATTTCTAAGGTTGGGGGAATGATATGATAGTATATTAAAGGAGCTTTGTACCTCTGCCCAGCTCCTGTCTGGCAGGTTGATGAGCTGACTGGCAAATCATGATGTGTTGGAGTGTATGGGTTCTTGCACTGCTTTTTGGGGCAACAGCTATTGTGGGGCCATTCCCTTCCCTGCTGGCTCCTCCCTGAGGACACAGGTTCCAGATTTCCCAAGGGCTGATCTGCATCCATGACAGAGCAAACATTTCCTAAGCAAAAAACATATTTCCAAAGCAAAAAAATAAATAAATAAATATGGGTTTGACTCTCAAACCTTCTCCATGGCAAAAGCTGTTTAAATAGGGAACAGAGCTCTAGGACAGCAGGTGGCTTTTTTTCCCTAAAAGCTGTGGACAATTGTAGTGAAATTTTCAACACCCTGGAAAGAGTTTTTAATTCAGCTGGGATGTTAAGAGGATATTCAAGCTGCATGGAAGGTTTAAGACTTAAAGCTTTCCCTTGGACATCATATCTTAAAGTGATCTCTTTTTTTCCCCAAGAATCCCAAGTCCCAGTGGGACCACGCTGCTGTTTTACCTTCTGACTAGGCACAGAGTTACTAATTAATCAATGAGATGTTGCTCTCTGAAGAGGGGAGGGGGAAGGAGGGCAAGCACAGGCACTCTGGCAGCTGGGGTAGAGCAAACTGTGTTCACTGAAAAGAATTAGGGAACCATCGTTTTCTTACAACGGAACTATGGAAAACTGCAAAGTGTGGGTGTGGTGTGTACTATTTGCATTGAAACAATGGAATTTGTCTTTTTCCTTTTTTTTTTTTTTTTGCTTTTCCTGACTTTTTATTTCAAAAATTGTACAGTCTTAGGAGAAAAAAAAAACAAAAGGTCTTTTCTGTTAATATATTTGCGATTCATTAAAGGATGTGGAAAATCCAAATAAATTACTTTTAAAAGCAGGTTTCTCCCCATGTCCTTCAGGTCAGCACTGGGACTCACCCTTCAGGAGGTGGGTGAGAGGTTTCAGGACAGGCCCTGAGGCTGTTCCCTGTCCCTGGTGTCACCTGTGAAGGGGTGGCAGGTCCCTGGGCTGGGGTGTCACACCCAGGTGAGGTTCCTGAAGGTGTTTCTGTTCATCATCAGCTCACATCCTGCAGCTCTGGAGGAGAGCCAGTCAGCTCCCAGGGATGGAGGCGATTTTTATTATTATTTTTATTCTGCCTTCCCTAGCAGCTCATTATGTGGCTGCAGCCTGTTGTGGGCTCAGCAGAGGAGCGGGTAGAGACCCCGAGGTACCTTCAGACCCGGAGAAGCTTGGCAGGAAAAGGCTGAGACTCGTGGCTGATGGAATTCAGAATGAAACCTTTTAGTGCTCATTTTTCCCGCTCTATTAACCTAATCCAGGCATTCTTTCGAGAGCCACGTTTGGCTCTAGAAGTGACACTGACACCTTCCCTGCACCTCGTTACCTTTCTGCCTGCCGTGTTCCTTTCAATCCCGGACTCGCGGCGGCGTGGGGAGACCCCGCCCTGCTCCACGCCCCTTGCTCTTCCTGTGTCTCGGTGGCCGTTTGTGGGCTCAGCCGCGGGTGCTTTGGGCTCAGACGCTTCCTAGCGGTGGAGCGGAGCTGTGGTAACGCCGGGCTGAGCTCTGGACATCTCCAGAGAAAGGCAAAGCGTTAATGGAACGCGACTCGTACGCCGCGATGCTCCATCGGCATCTGAATCGCAGCGAACAGGGCGAGCTGCTGGCTCCTGGGGAGCACCCACAGCTTCTCACATCACACTTCCTTCTGTTCTTCGTCAGTAACTTTGCTGCTGCCCCGTCTCCAGTTGCAGTTGGTGGCTTTATTTGAGAGGGAGCTGGCCCAGGAGCAGGCACTGGTTCATTTATTTCAGAGAAGAAGAGCAGGGTTTAGGGCAGGAAGCCCTGTACTCCTGATCCTCCGTGTTTAAAATTATATTAACCCTGAGAACAAGGCTTCCTCTGCTGCTTTTGCCTGCCTGCTTTTCAAATCTGTGGTCACAGAGCACTGGATTTCCCACTTAGCTGGGTGCAGCTGCTTTATAAACCCTGGGAGATGTTCCTTGTTTGAAACCCCACAGCGGTGGGCAGCTGGGGAAGCAGAGACAGGAGGGGACACGCTCCCTTCCCTGGGGACCAGACCCAGGCAGCAAACACCTCTCCAGCCTCTGCGTCCTCACATCCAGGCAGGGTCACGGAGCAAAGCTCCAGACTGGGAACACTGGACCCAGAACAGCCTGTGGAGGTGGAAACGGGACAGATGGGGGTGAAGGAGGGTGAGGAGCTGCTCAGATGTGAGACTGCCCAGGACCTGGGGAGCAGGCGCCGTGGGGTGGCGTGTGTGGGACCTGCGCTGGGTGACTGTCCCCTCTCCAGTGCTGACTGTCTTGTACACCCAGGACTGGGCCAATCTGGGCCTTTTCTGGGTTTCTGAGCTCTTCAGCAGGGCCACCAAGCCCTGTGCCTCTGCAGCCTCACAGCACGGGTGAACAGGGACACCGATGGCTTCTGTCCACCGGTGCCCACACGCCTCGTCCAGGGGCTGGCTGTGTTTCTGGCCCACCTCTCGAGGATTGGGGTCCTGCCACCCCTCTCGTGTGATGCTCCCACCCATTCTCATCTGAGACCTGCTCTCCTGGCCCAGGCTGTTTTATTCAGCCTTAAAGGATGGGAAGGATTTCCAATATCCTAACAGTGCCAGCAACACCTCCCAGATCAGGAGAATAAGCCACTTTCAAAGGGCAGTTCCACAAAAAACACCCCAGAAAACCACACCCAGAAAGGACCCACAAGTTCCTTGCTGACAGCCTTTACATTCAGACATTTAATCAGTTAAAAATCCTGTTCCAAAATCCAGCAGTTCACATCCAGGTACGTATGGAACAACAGGAATTCTTTGTTGCCAGGACATTTGGAAAGTGAGCTTGAGGAGACAAGAGGATTATTTTGCTGCTTTCTGCCTCTTTTGGTTTCTCCTGTGTCTTAGAAGATTTTAAAAAGGCATTTTCTGGCCTCAGACCCCTTGTGCTGGGCGAGTGGCACATCCCCACTCCTGCACCCACTTCCAGGCGCTTCGTTAAGGCAACTTGCTGCATCCCTGGCAGTCCCCTGCAGAACACAGCCATGCTCTGGGCTTTCCTGGATAACCAGGAAAAACAGCCCGGCTGCAAACACCATCTGAAAGCCACGACCCCTGAGGAAGGAGAGGCAGATGGATGGTGTCTGTGTGGGAGATGCTGGATGTGGCTGTGCAGCGTAGAGTGTCCAGGAACTTTGACTTAACTACAGAGGAGTTTGGCTGCTACATTGAGTAGGGCCAGAAGTTCCCTTCACGCCAGAAGTAGTGGAGAAACATTCATTTTGGTCCTGAAACCAAGAACACCTGCTGAAGAGGCAGAGGCTGCCTGTGTCTCACAAGGTGTGCGTGGCAATCTGTGACAGAGGGGGCAGCTCCTGCCTCCCCACGGGCCCACATGAAGCCTCTGCCTGCAGTGGTGTCTCTCCTCCATCCGCAGGGGCTGGTGGATGGACCTACCTGCACTTCAGGGAGCTGCAGGGACAAAGACACAGGGCTAAAACCCAGCACAGCTCAGCTTGCCCAAAGAGCCAGAAAGGGGAATGTCCTCCCAGAACTCACCTTTGCTCAGATGCTGGGGATATTCCGATGGTGTGGAACATCCCAGGGGTTCCTGGGGCAGAGGACCAGGATCTTGTCTGTGATGTTGATGTACTTGGAGCACCTCAAACATCCTCTCCACAGCTTCGCTCTCCTGAAGGGAAACAGTGAGTCCTGTCACACAGAGGGACCGTCAGCAAAAAGAGAAGGAGCTTGTCGTGCTGTCAGCCTGGGGGACGTGGAGTTGGCCCTTCTGTTTGAATTAAATTCAGCCTGGCTCTGGGATAAAAGCTAAAACACGCCAAAACCAGCAATGTCAGAAGGAGCTGAGCTGTTGGGTCTCCCTGTGTG